AGAGAGAGAGAGAGACTGCTATCACATGTATCATGATTACTGTATTACTATTGTACGATTATTTGATGATCATTGTAATACTGATTATTTGATTATTATTGTATTATGATTACTTAATTATTATAATAATTATGATTATTTGATTACCATTGTGATCGCCATTCACCCAGTATGGCCGCTCGGATGTTGGGATCCGATCTTCCTCACTTTTTTATTATTTTTTTTAAATTCTTGTTTTGTCCTCTAGATCTGATAATAATAATAAATAATAATATGATTATTATCATGCAACAAACGCTCTTCCTTTCCGACTCGCCACGTACGATTTCGTTACGGTCAGGGGCAGCAGGGAAATGCAAAGAAAGCGGTGTAGGGCGGGGGAGTAACGTTTACTCATAGGATGATGTTTTTGTTGTTTTGTTTTGTTTGGTTTGTTGGTTTGGTTTGGGGTAGTAGCTTGTTTTGTTGGGGGTAGGGGGGGGGTGGGGGGAAGAGTGTTGTTTGTTTTGTTTATTTACTTGTTTGTTCATTTTTGTTTTTATTTTTCTATGAAATATGTATTATATTTTACTGCAAACGACTGTAAATTAAGCAAGTGTCTTGCAGCGCTGAGAATAAGAGAAAACAAAAATGGCTACTGTGTTACAATTTTGGGCTAAAACATGACGTGCTTGCATATTTTTAGTTTTGGAGTTTGTTTTATTCTTTATGTTATTTTGTTTTGTTTTGTTTGTTTGTTTGTTTGTTTTTTCCCCTACGCTGCAGTCGGCAGCTCGCTAAGTTTCATCCCCAGTAACAATGATTATTATTGTTCACCAGAAAAATCAATACAATTCGCGACTCAGCATTATTCTGAAACTCTCAGTGTCCCTACTTACCGAACTGGTGGTGAGATTTGGGACAGAAAAAAATACAAAATATTAAAAGTTTCCATGCTTTCGTTACACCGAGAGAGTTAATTTATTTATTTAAACTAGATCTATCTATTTCTATTTATTCATTTTAGATTACTTAATAGTTACCCTCCGGGGTGCGATAACTGGGCTGATTACTACTGTAATACTCTGTGCTAATGTTTATCTAAACCGAGAAGTTCTTTTTGGAAATAAAAATATGATTTTTTATTTTTACCCATGACATTATACAACAAAATGACATTAATGCATCAGCATTAACCATTTTACAATTTCTTCTTATACTATGTTATTATCAATCAAATCTTCCAAGACGCCACGTGTTTGTTGTGTTTTACAAGTCCGAATAAATTCTTCCATCGTTGTTTTCTGTCTAGAACGATTTGTGTGCTAAACTTTAGCAAGTTTTCTATAACGATGATAACTCTGAACGTTTTTTTTTTTCCCTCACGCCAAATTCTAAGACACAAGCGCACGACAATTTCTATTATAACCAAACACCCAAACTGCATCAGAATACACCCTCGTGTGTGCATGGGGATTTGTTTGCATGTTAGTTGAAATGAATGTTGATTTATTGATTGAGTAGGTGTTTTACGGCACTATCGACTCAATTTTAGTCAGAAATAATTGTGTGCAAACAATATTATATGTTACATCTTGTGTACTGAGAATGCCAATAATCGGAAAACTGAAGGGAACATCAAAGATTTGTTTGTTCGTTTGTTTGTTTGCTTTGTTTTGCGTTTGTTAGTGGGTTTTCTGTTAATTCTTTAGCTTAAGCAGGAATTTTACGACACTTGCAACACATAGGTCATGATCATGGGTACCGAAGATTAGAGTCTTACTTACAAAAGAGTAAGAAACAAATGGGGATAGAAAAAGGAGAGTAAGGGTGATACACGTTTGATAAAACAGGTTTCTGTTTTAGTAAGAGTTTTACCGCACCTGCAACACAATTAGTTCATATATAGATTTACGTGCCGAAGATTAGAGACGTTACGAGAGAGTAACAAACATAAAAAAGAAGGCGGGGAGATAAGGACGATAGACGTTTGATAAGAAAAGAGCAGATCACACAAGAGCACCTGCCAGCAACAATTTTCAAAGCAAGAAATTATATTTTCTCTCGTCATGAGTGTACAAACATACACTTTTCTAAATGAAATAGTTCTTAAGACGGTAAACAAAACACAGGCAGACATAATGAATAGAATCACTTTATACAACACGAAAAATGTTGCAATCTTCGCAGTACATGTTCATGTATTGTCTTTTAT